TTGATAATCATTCAAAATTAACTTGCTAAAGTGATTAATTTTTGAAGGCAGGTACTACTACAACCTTCTAAATTTAAACATTGAAAATATTTTTGCAGTACTACTACAACGTTCTAAATTTAAATATTGAAAATATTTTTGCAGTTTAATCTTTCCCCTGATTCCATGTTTGTTGTAGAAGTGTTTAAAGATCCAGATTCCCTTCTGGTTGCTTTTGTCCTAGCCCCTTCCACATGAGCTGCTACTTTTGTTAACGTGATCTTCCACTCATGACTGAATTTAGCTGCTTGTGTATTTTTGAAAACCTGCTCATGAGATGGAGATTATGCTTCATGAATCTTAAATAACGTAATTGGGACACACAAGGTCTCCTGCCTGCCATGAAGGAAGAAGGTACAACCTGAGGAATGATAGTGAGGAAATGCTAACCGATAAGAAAACTCCCAGAGAACACCTCTTTCATATGAAATAATGGGAAAAGTAGACTGAATTGATGTCTGATTTATAGACTGTTCTCAAAGTAGTTAGATTTCATTTTGTTTCAAGCCCAGAATATAACAGACTAAGATGCAGATGGGTTCCAGAAAGCAAAATTATATAAACCAGTGAAATTTGCAATTCACAAGAGGCTTAAATTATATAATTATATGTTGTGAGCACAAAGGTCTTCAAAATTGTGTGATTTCCTTGTCAGACAGATAAAGCAGTGAATATAGAAGAAATAATTTCTATATCGTTTTATTAAAAAAAATACTTTATGCTAGGTCCTCCTTTTCACAAGCAAGATGCTTCTGATTATCTGTCCAACATGTTCTCCTGAACTCTTTGTTGAACACCACAAACAAAGCAACAATCAGGCTGCTACGGCTACTGTTCGTTTAGCGCTCAATGTGAACCAGGAATCAAGCTGCCACTTTAAATAATCAAAGCCTCACAGAATTAGCTACTATTATTATTTTATTTAAGAGGGAGGGTCACTGGGACTTAGAGAAGTTAAGTCAACCTGGCTAAAATAACATCAACCAGGAAAACTCGGAAGTCAAGAATCATAAATTTTGTGTTAAAAAATGAAAAATTTTCAGGGTAGAGTCCAAGGAAAAAATAAATCAAAGTTTTAAAACATTTTAAATTTTCAAAAATGAAAAATCATTAATTTTCTTTCTAATTCTAAGTAGAAGAGGATAAGCAATAGTAAATAACCTTTAGGGATATCTGGATCCAGGACATAACAGGGAAGATTCTGGACCACTGAGATGAGCTAAGAAATTGAAAATGTCAGTAAAAAATCTCCGAAGTGCATGGGTAGCTGAAGATTTCTCTTCTGCCCTTTGCATCACCTCATGCTGAATACCTTCACCTGGAGGGTTTGGACCGTGGAACACACTGAGTGTTCATCAGCATATCTCTGGATTGATATAGTAAAAAGTTATGCCAACTCCCAAATAGAAATATGATTCCAAAAAATATAATGATAAAAATATTCACCTAGGTTAGAATTATTTCAGGAGATTTACCTTGGGCATCCATGAATAAATTGGAATAATCTTTTTCAAAGCCATTCTACAGCAACACTCTATCAGAACATTCTGCAAAGATGGAAATGTTCTATATCTGCCCTGTCCAATACAGTAGCTGTAGCCACACGTGGCTGACCACTTGAACTGTAGCAATGGAAACATAGGAAAAATGGAATTTAAAGTTTTACTTAATTAGTTTAAATTTAAATAGCTGCGTGGGGGATTACTGTATGTGCAGTCAGTGCAGTTCTAAGGAGTAAAGTTTTAATTATTACAAGTATCATAAAATTCTAAATATACCTTTTCCTCATATTTCCGTCACCTCTTTCCCTGGACAGGGGAGTGAAAAAGGGGAGAGAGCTGCAAGGGATGGTTGAGTCCAAATGTAAAATCATTTTCCATGTTTGTATGTCCCCAATTCAAGCTGTGTTTTGTTGACAAAATTTGGGAAAGCTGAAGATTTGGCAGGCCTGTCTGTCCCCTTGCCTGCATGAATGTGTCAGCACCTCATTAATCTTGTATTAAACTGTAAAGGTCTTTTTCCCTCCCCCTATGGGACATTTTTAAGGGACACTCCAGTGCCCCCTTTACATCTCACAGATTTTCTAAAAAAACTACAAGTTGCTCTGTGGATTAATTTCGGCATATGCTTTATTTATATCTATGCCAATCATTTCCAAATTGGAAAGAAAGAGAAATAATTTTAGGGGATAGAGAGGTTAAGATATATTGTGTCTTGAGTTTTTGAGGAACTCACTAAGTGTTTCTATTTCCTAGAAATTAAAGGCATGAGCATTCTATCTGTATTATTTCTCTCCAATTTTAATTGGTCTTTCAATGAAATGATTCTATCACACAGGTGGTCTTGGTGATCCTTATTCTTGCCAAGAAAAAAAACCACATAGTCTGTAGGGTTTTGTTTTTTTTTTTGCCTTAACCGTTCTTGTCATTTTTTTCAATGTAGGAATTAGATGACAGTGTCTCTAAATGATACTGAATATTTTAAGCCTGAAGCCTGAAGTGCTTTGTCCTACAGGTGCATGGTGAATTGTCATTGCTTTTTTTTCTCTTAAGACAGACATCTAGAATAACAACTTTCTGTATTTCCTGACACTGGAAACAGATACCGTTTGGGATTCCTTTTATAGTTTCTTCAGCTAACGACTCCAGTGACCACTCAATTGTGGTCTTGTAGTAAATCAAAATTTCTTTGAAAGACCCAGCTCTGTTACATAATTGTAAATTATCCCACGAAGTCATCTCCCTAACTAGAAAGAAAACTGAGTTTCCGTTGCCTTAAATAATAGGGACCCTGCCGCCACACATAATACTTTTTGAAAATAAAAGAACAGACCATTTCTTCTCCTGTTCCTCCTCCTTCTTTTTACTCCTTTTAAACTAACCCACAATTGATTAGGCAAACACAGAAGCTTCAGGCTGTGTCAGATCTGGTTGGTCAGTCATGGAGAAAGAGAACAACCACTTTGCAAACTGCTGCTTCGGTCTCACTGGGCCCTCCCGTGAAACTTGCCCTAACTGGGATTTTGGCTTTCGTAGTGACTAAGGTGAATACCCTGAGTCCCTGAATGGACCCTCCACTGTGTACTTTGCAGTTTAATAAAATAGAGTTAAGAAATAAAACCAGGGAGGGCCCAGGCCCTGCCGGAATCAAGGTGAGAACCCTGAGGGAGGGCTAAGGGGGTTCCACAGAAGACCCCCCATTCAGTTCCTCCCGGGAGGCCCTGGTGACATGACTAGGTGCATTGTCTCTGACTTCTGCATCCCAGTCTGAAAGAGACTCGGGGCTTGGTCTAAGAAGAAGGGCCCAGAAGGAAAAAAATCAAAATCAAATCAACCCCATGATGGCATTGCGTTCATAGCCCGCAGTTCTTTGCCATCCTCAAGGCAGGGGAAAAGGACACCCAATATATTTTGGCAGGATGTGTTTAGGTCAAAGAGGGGGACAGTGGAGCTTTCCAGTATGGCAAACATTGGTGTGGCAGGAGGTCTGTACAGCCGGCCTCTTTGCAGGGCAGGGCTGACAGTCGGCAGGCGGCAGCAGGCCAATGCCCAGCGCTTTCCCCTCTGCCCAACTCGGGTGGTGAGACTGTGGCCTTGCACAAGACTCTAGAAGTCTGGGAAAAGGCTTCCTCAGGAACTCAGTCCTTGGTGCATGCCAATCCTTGTAAGCATTTCACCTCTTCAGAGGCTAATGCCTCTCAAAACCAAGAACAATTAAAGCGAGAGTCTTTCCAAGCAACTAGGGAATTGAGCAAAATGAATCAGAAATCCTCTGCTTTGGCTCTGGAGGTTCGCCTCATTATGAGAGCAGATCTATTAGCCCTCTTGTCTTTGTCTTTCATTTCTCAAGTGAGGTGATTCTAATTAAATTAATCTGCATGTCAATCTATCGGTGATCAATCAAAAAGCCTGAGGTCCCCCCTATGCTGCAGGGTGCTTGCGGCTGACAGGGTCTGATAATGGAGGAAGAAATAAACTGTTGAGCAAAGTTAATTAGTCAACATAATAGGTGGATTAAACGGGAGCTGGCTGATTGCTGTTCCCCATGTCAAAGCAGGAGGTGGGAGCTGAAGCTGCAATTACAGACAATTATTATATTTGGTTGTAAGAGGTCGAATGAATAAACATATCTGTGCGGGTTTCAGTTTTAATCCTCTTCCCCATTTAATATAAGGAGAAGTGTAGGTCATTTCTTCTCATTGTTTTAGTCAAAGTTCTCTGAGAAAACACCTTTGCCTGGGACCCTTCCGGCAAACTGGTTTCAGAGTCCGTTTTTGAGATGCCCAGGATATCTGAATTGTACCTGGGCTGTGCCTTTTTTTTTTTTTTTTTTTTGGTTTTGAAACAGATCTAAGATTCTTAATTAGCAGACATTTTGGGGGATGGTGGTGGCGATGGTGGTTGAGGAGGTCTTTGGTCTAATTTACCCAACTAATGTGGGAAGAAAAAAGTACAAGAAGCCCTAAGAAGACACCCAGGAGAGAAAGCTGCATCCCAGCTCTCGCTGAAACCTCTTTTTCATTTCTCTATCCTCTTAACCCTGACGCAGTGGGAGGGAAATATTTTAAAGATTCAAAAGGTTTTTATTTGCATGATCAACTGTGATATCTGCTTCGGTGTCTAAACTGAAGGGTAATTTAGGTGAAACACAAGCACCCTTGTGTAAAAAAAAAAAATATGCTAATAAAGATCCTCTTGTTAAAATTATGGTTAACAGTGTACCTTCTGCTGTATAACTATAAACTGTGCAATTTTACTTAAAACTGCATCAAAAGCGTTCCATGCCAAAGACCCACTCATCAATAGCTCCTCTTGTTAGACTTGTACAGCATAAGCACCAGTTATTATGTGAAATAGCTATGCAATTTTCTTCAGCTCCAGCTGTTTTTTATTTAACTTGAGTTTATTACCCTCCATGCTTTTATATTAAAATGTTCATTCATTTTTCTCTTCTGTCTCCAGGTCGTGGTGTCTACAACAGTCAACGTGGATGGCCATGTCCTGGCAGTCTCCGATAACATGTTTGTCCATAATAACTCCAAGCATGGGCGGAGGGCTCGGAGGCTTGACCCCTCGGAAGGTACGCCCTCTTATCTGGAACATGGTAGGCAAATCATTTTCATTGGTTGGCATTGCTACTTTAACTGTGAATCTATTTAGTTTTTCTCTTCCGACTCCGCCGCATTTACTACCACACTTCAAATTTCAAATGTACTGTTGACAACATTGATGCCGGGTCTTTAAAGACAGGAAGATATCCTCGAGGCCCAGGCTTTCTGGGTGCACAGCTTTTTACCCTGGGAATGGCTGATGCATCTTTCCTTCAGGTTGAGGGAGAGAGGGAAACTGGGACCACTGCATTCTTTTAAACTCCCACTAAAAATAAAGGCCAAAGCAAAGTGACAAAAATTGTGATAACATTTTGAGTTTCTAATCTGTTTGGTTCTATAGTGAACTCTACCCTCTTTACAATCCTGCTGGTGTATTTCTGTGACAATATATTTAACTTCATTTAGAGAGACATTTAGAGAGAGAAAGTCCAATGTCTAGGTCAGATGCGCTTTCTGAATAGGAAGTCTAACTAAGTGACCCTCCACTGCTCTGTGCATACCCCTCCCCTCATCACTGCAACCTAGAGCCTGATTTCTGTAGGTACACTCTGGTGGAGAGCAAGTACATTTTTTTTTTATTTTATGGCTAATCAGTGGTGTCTTTGAGAGGACTGGAGGAAACTAGATAAAAAGTTGAATCAAGGAAAGTAAATGCTACTCACAGGAACCATGGGCTAGTTTGAGTGTATGTCTGGGTGTTTCCTGTGCTACATGTATGCATGATGTATCCATCCATCCAACCACCCACCCATCACCCATACATCCATTCACCCATCATCCATCCATCCATTCATCCATCCATCCATCCATCCATCCAAAAAACAGTGACTAAGACTCTATTGGGTACCAATCGCCATGCTATTTTTCTCTGATCTTCTTCAAATTAAACTCTTAACTCATTTCTCCACTTTGCTATGTCAGCAGATTCCTTCAAAAACACTACTACACAAAACACCTCCTCATTGCCTGATATTTTCTATGGGCACGAGCTGTCCATGATATAACTCATAAGGTAGAAAACTCTCTACCCTGCCAGCATCCCAATTTAATAAACACACCACTATCACTGTTTTTGCCTGATTTTTTTTTCCCTGCACTTAAGGGATCTACAAACTGTACTTTTTATTAATTAGCCAGATATAACACTCTTAGAGGGGATTCCTCACCACATCCAGGTTTACAGTCTTTTATAAAGTAAACTGTCATCTCTCAAAAGCTGCTTCTTTATGGTTTCATTAGTGCTGAGATGGATGGATATTACTTTTTGCAGGAGGCCATTTGAAACACCTGCTCACGATTACATTCCTAGCTCCATTCCTGTACTTAAAATTATTCTGGTCCTCACTTTACAGTAATGTTGCTTTTTTACTACCCTTGGAGTCACTTCAGTCACTGTATGACTAGAAGTGTTGAGGGGAAAGGAAGAAGGAAAAAATAGGTAAATACTCAGTGGGCACAATTTGGAGAGCCCTGGCTTAACAACTGAAGTTTTGTTTTTGACTCTGGCTGGTTAATTACAATGTTAACTGCCCTGTCCAGGGAGAGAGTTGACTCTCAGTTTGAAATCTTCCAGCTGTGAGTTCACAGTCTCAAAATGTACTCCGAGTGCCGAGCCCACCCAGACACCCATGCTGCCCTTGGGACGCCGGACGAGAGAGCACACGACAGCGCGCAAGGCCTTCCTGCACCAAAAAGTGCAACACCAACCCAAAGCAGCCTGCTAGGGCAGGGCCCTCTAGGGCACAGAGTTGGGGACATTATTTTGTCTTGTCATGTGGAGGAATGAGTCTCAAAGTAGGATCAGGAAACCTAAATTCTTAGTTTTACCTATTGGCTTTTGTGTGACCTTGGACAAGCCACCTTACCTTTGGAGCTCTTAGTTTCTTTCTTGGTAAAATGAAGGTGATGCTCTATGGTGGGAGGTAAAGGAAAACTGTGTACCTTGGGTGGGGGCAGGTCATGTGCACAGGGGAAGTGGGCTGGGTGGAGACTGTGGAAGAACAGCAAGGACATGCTCTGCTGCCCCCAGCCCCAGACAGTTGTCACCAAGAGTAGTGAGAGCCCACGGGGGCAAGATGTTGCAGTTGGGCAAGAATTACAACTCTCCTAATTTTAATTGTTGGTAACTAGTTATGAAATTTTTAAACCCTGAAGGGAAGTGGGGGTTAGCCACTTGGGGAGAATACAGTTACAGGCTAACAGTTTGAGACCCCTGATCCACAAGACCCTAAGCTTCCTCCCAGCTCAAATAGTCTTCCTTCTAAGGGTACATAGTACTATTTCAGTTGGGATATATATGGATCATACTAACTTTTAAAGACAATGTTTTATTCCTCTGTTCCAGTTTACCCATCCATAAATGATCAGTTATTATTAACGTATTATTTAAGAAAAGGATGACATTTCACTCTTTATAAATGGTTAACCATCACTGGGGACGTGGGTATGTCCTATGTCCCTCAGCTAGGGGGACCTTGCCCTCGCAAGAGCCTTATTTCACTTTTCTCCTGAAGAATGAAGGGCAGACACCTTTAGGTTCTTACAGATGTGGGTATATATATATATATCTTGAGGCTCAACAGCACATGGGAATCTACTTCTCTGCAGAATGAATCAAGCAACCACACATAACCACCCACTCATTTAGACACTTTGAACTGGTACATAAATACCTACTCAGCAAAGGGTACCCACTGGTGCCTGTCTTACACTGGTGATGTGTGGGAGTGGACCTAGATGCTGAATAATGCGTGTGACTTCGGGAGTACATAGTACCTAATCTTGCCATTGAAAAGTCGTGCTTCACTGCCCCTGCCCATCGGCCCCCCCGCCTTCCCTCGCCTGCTCAAATAGCGACTGCACGTGAGGCTGCTGGCTTTTCACCTCTTAGGTGACCTGGAGAACCTGTTTTCCCTCCTTCTGGGCTTTTTACCATCTCATTTCCAGGTAGCCTGGATTATTTTGAGCAACTCTGCGCATCTCTATTTATATCCTGCTTGTCAGGCAGTTGGAGGAAAGTTCCCTTTCACGACTTGTCTTTCTGCATATAAGTAGAAATAGAGACCATGCTTTACATTCAGGCAGTCCTGTGCGACCCACGGACTCCCAAATCTCCAGGCTTGAATAACTGTCCCTGTTTTTTAAGTAGGAGAGTTGACAAAGACAAATTTATTTCATAGAATCTTGTGTGGCCCAAAGAGGGTGAATCCTGGCATGCTGTAGCTCATGGTAATTGCTGTGCCCCTTATTTTTTTCTTCATTCATAAATACTGAGGATTCCCTTTGGCTGAATATTTATGGGAGAATTTAGGCTGGTGATGTTTCCTCTTTAAGTTTTAGGGAAGATGTACAGTTGTGGAGAGTGGTGGCCTCAGAAGGTAACTGCTTTCAGGGTTCCAGTTTTTGAAAAAGCATAGGCTAGGGGGCCAAAGATGCTGAATCGTCACCTCCCACAGCAATTATAGCTCTAGCCTGTGTCTCCCTGTCACTTGGGAAAATTTCTGGGGACTGGGTGCCGGGAGAGTATTGATATTGTCATCGTTGTTCTCTTGAGTTTCAGGTCATGTTTACTTGAATTTATGGCCATTTGTGGCATCAGTGTCCCTACCTTTTCCCCCATGGCCAAACACAGTGCCCTCATAAAGCTATAGCGCAGGGACCCTGTCATCCTGCATGCGCTAACACTTTATTATCTAACGATCTAATATGCAACAAGGCAAAGTGCCGGCGCCCATCATTCTGACACAGAATGCCGGGAGAAGTGACTAAATTACTCTATGTACCATTAGCGCCAGCAGCTATAGTGAACTCACCCGCAGCATTTATGCAAATGTCTGTGAATACACTCTAGTGGCTTTGTCAGGAAGCCTTCTGACAAGCAGTTTAAACGCTAATTTTTTAGAATTTTGGCATGCATGTGTTTTTCTCCCTTCTTCTCTTTTCTTCCCCACCAAACCCTTTTTTGCACTGTTAGAGGACTTGCCTCATCGAGACCGCTGGGGAAGTGTGAGCAGGCCAGAGAGCTTGGTGAGCCGTCAGTAGGCACCCTCTCTGGGAGTGGGATTAAGGTCCCAATCTGGTGCTTTTCAAATTTAGGTGTTTTTAAAATTGTTATGAATTTGTACAACATTCACACATACTTGAAAAATCAGTAGAACTTTTAATTAAGAGTTTTTAGAAGATGACCTTCTTAACGTTCATGAGTTAGTTTCTTGCTTAGTTTCTTGGCTCAAATATAGATATTCTAAAACACCCTCCTTTTTAAAAATGGAAAACACTGAAATTTAGCTTTTGTGGGCATCAGATAGGAATGAATTGCTTTTTGCTTCCAAGTCATTATAAAGATTGAGACATGAGCTATAAAGATGCCAGGGTCCCAAAGTAAAACAAATCAAAACAAAAGTGGGGTTTGGTTACACTAAAAATACTTTCCAGAATAAAGAGCGGCGACAGAATCAGTGGACCCATCTCCTTGCTGTAATTATAGCATTAGAGGAATAGAATCAGACTGTCACCACCACATCACTTCTGACCTTTCCATTGTAGTGTCCCCTTCCAGCCGTCCCTGACAATGTGGTGTTATTCTTGCTCTTTAGCATTTGACCTTCTATAATCCTTTTGCCTCAGACAGAAACAGTTTTTGCTTCTGTTGGTTGCCCCTGGATATCCAGTCCCATTGACTCCCTGTGCCCAGCTGCACTTAAATTTGTTGTTTTACAGACATGTGAAGAAAGATGGTTCATGCTTGGGGAGATTACTCTAAATTGAGACATAGCTTGGAGCTTCCAGTAGAGAGGAGAGGCCGTCTCTTCCCCACTCTGTGAAATGAGGCCTTAAGAAATAGCTAGTGACTATTAGCTGGGTCTAATAGCAGGAGGGTGAGGCTGTCTGACTGCAGAGCTGAATTCCAGTCCTGACTCTGCATGAACTAGCTGTGTGTGACCCTGGCAGGTCACTTTGCTTCTGTGGCCTCAGTTTTGTATGTGTTCAGTGA